GATTGAAAGAAACTAGTTTAGAATCACTTACAAATGATTTGGGGAAGAAAAGTTCTTCGGAAAATCGCCTCTTATATTTCTAGGTTTGAAAATTTGGAGAATGAATAAAAAATCCCGTTTAAGTCATATTTTGTTCCGCTGCAGATGTCGCATCTGCGACCTAGGCTTCGCAAATGCGAAGCCCGTAAATGCAAGAAATCCATCGCAATTGCGAAGACTCCCACACCTCTACAATCATCGCATTTGCGATGAAAGTTCGCAAATGCGAACAGTGACCAATCCGCAATTGCGACCAATTGATCGCAATTGCGACCACAGACTGACCAAGCTCCCATTCGAAAATGCGAAGACTTTACCGCAAATGCGATCACTGGCTCCCTGCAAATGTGAACTCTAGGTCGCAAAAGCGAATTAGAGCTTGGGGAAATGTTCGCAAATGCGAACACTGATCTCGCAAATGCAAGATCAGACACCAGTTGCAGAACCAGCAATGCTCTGAGTCCTATTTTCACTCCGTAGCCTATCCGAAACTCACCCGAGCCCTTGGGGCTCTAAACCAAAAGGGCACACTAGTCTAAAAATATCATACTAACTTGCTCGCGCAATCAAATCGCCAAAATAATATCTAGAACTACGAATTGAACACCAAATCACATGAAATTTTCAAGAAAACTTTGAAACTTCTATTTTCATAACCGGACATCCGAATCACGTCAAACCAACTCCGTTTCTCACCAAATTTCACAGACAAATCATAAATATGGTATTGGACCTATACCGGGTTCCGGAACCAAAATACGGACCCGATATCCAAAAAGTCAAACATTGGTCAACATTTCAAATTCATTTAGCCTTTAACTTTCAAATTTCATCACAACTCCCTACCACCGGAGCCTCATCCCTGGTCTTTTTCTTCCCCAATTTACCTTCTGACTTTTGTTGAACCTTGTGAGGTTTTTCTTGCTGAGAGAGATTATTCTTAGTTTTTTATGCAATCTGGCTATATGGGTTCTTTCACCTTCATGTCTTCTTTGTCACCGTCAAACCTCCATGAAAGGCGGAGGTGTTGTTTCTTGGTGATGAAAGGTGCAGGGAAATCGGGTGAGGTCTACAAGAGAGATGTGAGATTCAACGGCACTGCTCAATTTTCATAACAATGACACTGCTCGATATATTCCCTCGCTCAACGAGAGAACCCATGAAACTTCGATATCCTCAAACTCAACGTCCCACCTTCTTCGTCCTTATTAAAATAGAAGTATTTTCATCTCAATGAGCGAACCCATGAACCTTCAATTTCCTCAAACTTAATGTTCCCCCTTCTTCGTCCTTATTAAAATAGAAGTATTTTCATCTATGTTTTCCTGGGTATTGCTTTAATTGATGGCTTCTGCAACTTCTGTTCGAAGAAAATATGAAGAGAAGGTAAGATAAAGGTAAGCAAGAGAGATTTCACGAAAAGTATATACGAGAGAATGGAGATCTGAGTCATTATTGAGTCAGTTCAAGAGCTGATAATCATATCCCATACAATTGCAAAGGCATTTCTTTATCAGAATCAAAGTTATAGGCTTTTCTACTTCTCGTCGGTCACCATATTCTATTATGGTATTTAAAAGTTTTTAGGTTTGTTCTTTGAAATTATCATTTACCAATCACTAATTGCTTCTCCTTTTTGTAGCTTTCCCGTCCAAAATAATTATGATTACAGTAGTGGAAAAACTAAAAAGGCCGGTGGTGAAAAATGGAGGAGATGTGTTAGGGAGATAGAGTGAGGAAGAAGATGAAGGAGAAAATAATATTATTTTTTTTGAAAAGACAATGGTTTCACGCGCTCAAAAGCTGTGTGGCACACACATTGTGCCATGTCAGCCAAACATGTCTAATTGCACACTTTGATTTGAGTTCAAGTGTTCAATAGGAATAAACTTTTATTTAGATGTCTAAATGAAAAATTTGGGCAAGTTTAAGGGGTTGTCTATGTATTCAGCCTTTTTAAAAATATAAAAACTCCTATATGTATTTTCTTCCAGAACTATGTTTTATAAGAAAAAAATATTAAATGCAAATATTATTTTAATATCAGGTCATAAAATTATTGGAAATTTTACCTCCTGCAGCAAAGGTATACACCCTATTTATTATAAACCAAAATTATTTTAAAATTTTATTTTCTATAGTTACCTTTTATATTTTATAGAAAAATAGGTATTTGTGGTATATACTACATTGAGGCATAAAATACACTATTTATGTTTTTCCTCTCTATCTCTCTCTATCTCTCTCTCTTTCAACTAACACACGATTCTCTCTCAGAAATTTTCTTCTTTCTCTCTCTCTTCGAGCAACTCAAGATACACACCCTAGTATTGACGACCGACGAGACATTAGAATCTCTCTCTCTTCGAGCAACTCAAGATACATGCCCTAGTATTGATGGCCGACGAGACATTAGAATAGAGTAGAAGGCAGCCAGAAAACAGAAAAGAGTGAATTTTTTTAACTGAAAGGAGCAATGTGATGAAATCTTATCATAAATTTGTTGTACGGATCTAACGAACTTTCTTCTCTTCTTGGTCGGAAAACGCCATCTCCGACGAACTTTCTTCTTTTTTTTGTTATTTCGTCACATACAATGATACAAATACATTTATTCTGTATAAATTCACTCAAATATATTGTATTTTTGTATAAATACAATATGCATGAATACATGATATAAACATTAAAATACACTGAATACAAATATTAAAATATAATAGAATATAAACAGTGAATATATTTAATTTTAAAATATAGTAAAATACAATAAATACATTTAATACAAATAGAAATATAGTGAATATAACCAATGAAATATACTGAATACAACAGTAATAACATGTATTAGGAATAACTAAAATACTGTTAATACAAATACATTTGAATATATTGAATATAAAATAGCGAATATAGTAAATACAAATATTGAATCTAATGAATCCAACAATAAAAAAAATATTAAAACACACTAAATACAAAAGTTAAATACAACAGTTATATACAATTGAAAATCATTCTAATTAATTGGGTTGATAATGAGGCATGTTGGAATTGATTTTGTTGAGCTATATTAGGAGTGTATCACGCTAATTGATATTATTTTCGTTATTAGACAACTGGACATACCTATTTAAGGTGATTGTCGTTACTGTATTCACGAATACATGGCGCGAATACATGTGAATACATGTGCGTACAACTGGATTGCCCTGATTTTTAGACGCTTTTTGCTGCTGTATTCATGAATACGGCAACGCGAATACAGCAAATATACTACCGTAACAACTGAATAGTAGCTATATGAAGTAATTAGGTATATGGTAGCTATAGGAAATTAAAAGCCACTAAACGATAGTGGTTTCTGAAAATTCCTCAAAATTATTGTAAAAATTGCACGGGGCGCAATATTTGGTTCCCCCCCCCCCCCGATTTAACCTATACCCATTTTTTAATAAGTTTAACTTGTACTCACTTTTAAACAACTTCAGCCCCTTTCTCCTCCTCCTCTCCTCCTTCGTTTCTTCTTCTTCTTTC